GCCTAGCTTTATTATGTTTTTCTCCGCTCGCAGAAGCGCTGCAGGTGCATGATGTGATGCATGTGAATCCTGATGTTCTGTTGTTTGCTGCATTTTTCGGATATAAAATTAATCCCCGGGAAACAAATGTTAGTATTTTTAACGGGTCACACACACTTATCCTTTCTAATTTAATTAAATTCTAATTTAAAATAATCTTGTCGGTTAACGGTTAATAATCAGATAACGAGCGTCGGTTGTCAGTTAGGAAAAATAACAGAAATGAACATCCCTAATCCAAACGCTCGCCTATCATTCATCAACCTCAAATATGGTTTATCATCTGAAATATGTAAGTAGTAGCAACTTTACATGGCCGCTCGATCTCATGTTAACCTAGAAAAATGTGCGCTATTCAAGTGTCTCTGTGCGGAGTGTGAAAGCTGAACAGTAGCGTTGCTCGCAGCATGACAGATGGAGGCGCCGGTGCGGTCACTTGCTCTTAAAATACTCAGTTTTTGTCATACAGATAAGAGTAATACATCTTTCGAATCTGTAAAGCCTCTACGTTTATTTGTGCGCACTCACTATAACAACAAAACATTGCGCTTTTGTAAAATAATGAAAGTAAACAGGATGCGTTTTCTGTCGTCTTGGCCTCTGTGAACTTGAGCACGAAACTCTGTGTATACTTGCCTTACAGACATGAAAAATATATCTATAGAGAGTGAAATGTCTACTTTCAAATGAAACAATTCAAACCTGAAAAAACAAATATTTTCAGATTATGTAATCCGCATGAAACTTGCATGCAGGCGCATCCACTGCTGTGGAGATGACGAGTCAGTGTCACCGAATTCTTAAGCCGAAATCACAGAAAACACGTTTATCAATAGGTTATTAAAATGTTAATACAGTTTAATCTTACTGTTTTTCCCTGACATATTCATCATCATTACTTCTGCCGGTGCGCTGTGGCAAGCTTTATGCATGCGCTTGAGCGCTTATTAGGCTATGTAGGCAATTAAAGGCTCATTGGCATGATTTAAATGGTTTATTAATAAACGTGCAATTAGTCGACTAATGGTTAAAATGAACGACTACTAGTCGACCTGAAAAATATTTAGTCTAGGGCAGCCCTAATTTCTTTGATACTACAGAATTTTTTAATTCATATTTTTCAGTGCGTAATAATTTTAAAACCATTAATATTAATATTCTTGTATGAATGAGTAAAAGCATTAGGCTAATTCTCCATATCTAGCACACATAACCTAAAAACCTATATATTAAAAAAGGTCAGCAAATAGCATGTAATTAGTTTGCACATATCGGTTACGACCTTAAATCATTCTTTTGCAGACAGCTACATGTCTGTCTCTAGATAATACATTTATATACACGTACAGACTGGGTTGTGCTTGTAGGTGTAATTGAAATCACCATGAAATCCCTCCCTACATTTTTAAGAAGCCATTTCACTCGGATATACGTCACAATGGTGCATCTCAGGACACTGACTGTTTCTGTGGCAACCGGAGCTTCTAACCGCAGCTTGCAGTGACGTGACATCTTTACCAAAAATCATTGCGTGAATTTTCAAAGGTGTGACTTGAGAGAAGAGCTAATAAGTCACAGTTGCCCAAGAGATATTTAGCAAGTTAAATATGTGACCCTGGACCACAAAAAACAGTCATAAGGGTAAAATTTTTTTAATTGAGATTTATACATCATCTGAAAGCAGAATAAATGAAGGTAAGGAATAAATAAATGGTTAAAGGACAATATTTGGCCGAGATGAATATTTTTCCAGATTGAATATCTGGAATCTGAGGGTGCAAAAAAATCTAAATATTGAGAAAATCGCCTTTAAAGTTCTCCAAATGAAGTCCTTAGCAATGCATATTACTAATCAAAAATTAAGTTTGGATATATTTACAGTAGGAAATTTACAAAATATCTTCATGGAAACATGATCTTTACATGATCTATCCTAATGATTTTTGGCTTAAAAGAAAAATTGATAATTTTGACCCATACAATGTATTTTTGGCTATTGCTACAAATATACCTGTGCGACTTATGACTTGTTTTGTGGTCCAGGGTCACATATCTAGACTAGAGCCCTGCACGGGCCTCAAATATAGGTCCTAGCCCTGGCCCGAGACACTCAGGCCCTAGCCTGGCCCGTGTCCGACAGCTCATCAGAATTCTTGGCCCGAGTCCGTCTTTTTTTTCCCCCGTTCTCCCAAAACAGCTTATACTACTGTTTCAGCTATTAAAATAGTTAAGTTTTGTATGTAATGTCAAAGTGATTATATTTCGTTTAGCTTTTTTATTAAGTTAATTTAGAAAAACATTTGGAGCATTTTTTTGTTCGTTAAATGTAAGTTTTTGTTTTTTTAAAGTAACGACCAATCGGCCAGCGGCAGACAGTGAGTTGATCATAGCCTATGTTTGATCAATTTAGCCTTCTCAAATCATCACAACTTACCTAAAATAAAATATATATATATATATATAAAACAGTTCAAGCATATCACAATGCTAGTTTAAAGGGGTCATATGATGCGATTTCAATTTTTCCTTTCTCTTTGGAGTGTTACAAGCTCTTGGTGCATAAAGAAGATCTGTAAAGTTGCAAAGACTAAAGTCTCAAATCCAAAGAGATATTCTTTATAAGAGTTAAGAGTTAACCACACCTACCTAAAACGGCTCATTCTAACACGCCCCCACATGTCTACATCACAATGTGGGAAGATTTGCATAACACCGCCCAAATGTGCACGCAAAGAAAGAAAGCGTGGTTTCAGGAACAGCAGT